AATGGAGGATGTTCTTCTTCTGAGTAGATCATCAAAATAGGTGCTCCTACTAACTGTCAATCATCCTGGTGATGTATTTGCGTAAGGCCCTCCTTTGTGCTCGTCCTCATTTTCACTTACTGATGGTGAGTCTGACATAGTGGAAAAATTGCAGATCTTCTTTCCCCACACGTCTAATAGACGTTCCCTCTCAGGAGCGGGTACAGGGTTGAGCATGTGCATTTTTTCTTTTTTTTAAGTTTTTCAAAAATTCACGAAATTCCTCCACTATACCTCTAATTTAGGCTTTTATAAACTGTTTCAGAGGGGGGATCATAGCGCTCTGCATCAGCAGTGCTGTGTCTGCCTCCCTGCCAGCTCCCAGATCAGCTTCTCTGATTGGTTGATGCGGCGCGTCCAGCAGCTAAAGTTCGATGTTTCCATCTCCAGGCTTTATATGTGAGAAGGAGGATTTTACATTGAGCTTCATTTGTTCCAAATAAAGCTAATTTCAGCATGTGCACCGTTTCTTCTCCACCTACAGGGAGATAAAGTCCATCTTCGATAAGGAGGTTGACAACATGAAACGGTTCGAATCACCCAACATCCTCCGCATGTTTGGCATCTGCATCCAAGGGGAGAACAGTGAGTATTGTTCAACACAAGGTTTAGTGCAGTTTAAAACAGCATGAAGTCATGAATTTCCCTGCAGCTTCAAATCCGGAGTTCCTCGTCATCATGGAGTACTGCAAAAATGGAAGCCTGCGAGATTTTCTGAATTCCAAACATGAGCTGTTATGGACCAGGAAGGCTTCCATGTGTCTGGATGCAGCACAGGGACTTTACCGGTTAGTCTGCTCGTAAATGATCTGTTGTACTTACACACGGAGAGCGGTTGCTTAGGAAACATGATGGTCAAGACTAGCACGGAAAAATGAATCCAAAATAGTTGCTTAATCAGCCTATATGAGGGTTGAAAACGTGTCTAGAAGGAAGCCATTCTACATTTTAGTTTTGTGGCTGTTTAACTGAAGAGAAATTAAGGGGAACCTCCATCAGTAACAGAGTCAGAGGTTGTAAATCTCAGTTATTCTGTGAAATTTCTGCGACTCTTTGCATTTTGCAGCTGTGAACAGGAATTTTATGCAATCCTAATGATGAAATCTAAGGTTGGGAATTCTTGGAATACTCTCATGAGCATTCTCAGAATCCACGGTTTCGATGCATCAAATCCTCTGTCGTTGTTTAAGTTACACTGCAGGCATCAGTGGAAAAAATCCAAATCTAGATAAGTCAATTTTTCTTAAAATAAGTGCATTTGTTCTTGAATTGAGGAGGTAAGTGAGAAACTTTGCCAATGGAATAAGACAATTTACATTAAAAACAAGAGAAAACAACTGCATTGTCTTATTACAAATGTATAATACATAATCATCTTTTTTTAAGAGTAAAAATGCTTGCTCCATTGGCAAATCATCTTATTTACCTACTTAAATTAAGGGTAAATAAACTTGATTTAAGAAATCTTTACTTATTTCTAGATCATTTTTACAGCGTTCCATTGGCAAAGTGTCTCACCTCCTTCATTCAAGAAAAAATTCACTTATTTTAAGAAAATATGACTTATTTAGGTTTCCATTTTTTGCAGTGCAGCTGCAATGCAGCTGTGTTCAAGAGCACATTAATAACTTGTTAAGTTGTTACCTAACGTTAGAAAGCTGAGGTAAGAAGTGTTTGACAGATGCCTTTTTTATACGGATAAATAAATAAAATGATCTTTGATAATTTTGCCTCTTAGGCTCCATCTGTCTGAGGAAGTAAGCAAGCTTCATATGGGCATCACCAGCAGCAAGTTCCTCGTGGACGAGAACTACAGAGTGAAGGTAGAGAAGCCAAAATACACTGGGATGACTTGCTGCTAACTACTAGGACTTCTAACACTCTTCTTCTGTCAGCTGGGAGGCTTAGAACTGGCCAAAACAGAGACCTCACTAAAAAGGACGGCTAAGGACAAAGAGAAAGATAAAGACATCAGCTCAGTGTGCTACTCTTCCCCTCAGCAGCTGGGCAACATCAACCACACCTACAGCAAGGAGTGTGAGATCTACAGGTCTGTAGCTCTAGGGCCTCCAGCAAGTCATTCAATACTATGACTCATGCTACATTCACACCGCATACACGCAGAAGCAGCGGCTTCACATGCAAAGTCTATAATGGATGTCAGGGGTTGATGTTAATAATTTTTACCACTTGCTTGAAGGGCAAGTGACTTTCACATTTCATTTGCCCAGAAACAGTTTTTACTTGCCCAGTATAATGTTTGATAAATATAGTTCCTAATATTCATTTTTGTATAGATATATCAATGAAACATGTTTGTTTTTTA